TGAAGGTGCAATGGCAGCACCGCAAGGGCTCAGAATGGACTTGGGAGCCGGAGGACGAGATGAGGGAGCACTACCCCGAGCTTTTTCCAGATGCAGCAGCAGACTTCGAGGACGAAATCTAAAATAAGAAGGGGATATTTGTAACGCCCGGTTCATGTTAGAGGAAGAAGAAGAAGGAGCTAGAAGGTTCAAGGAAGCAGTAGATCCAAGGTTCAAGCTATATTTCCAGCCCCTTAAAGGTATAAAGTTGCTTCCTTGACTTTCCAATTGCTAGATCTCTCCAAGTTTGAGTTTAGCCCCATCTCTTAGAAATTTTGTGAACCTTTTTGAGTGTGGAGTATGATCTGAAGTGGTAACTTCATATCCAGATACCTTTCAGCCCCTTTAGCCATAAAGTTCACGAATTTATTATGCTTTAACCCTCCCCTTTGGCCTAGACTTCATTTTAGACTAGGAAATGGTGTTTTTGGCTCATGATACCTTGCATGCACGTAAAGTTTGTAACTTTACGTGTAATATGAACCCTAGGAGTTCAGATCTACGTTTTAGATATGTTAAGCCCGACTGAAAGTGGCTGTATGGATTTGGACATTGAGGGACTCGACGAGTCGCTCTTACGACTCGGCGAGTTGGGTCACAGTTTCCCCAATCTCTTCTGATATTGAGCAACTTTTTGAGTTTTGAAGAGAACTCAGCAAGTTGGGCTCGTTTATGGACTTAAAGATCATGGAACTTGGCGAGTTCAAGAACAAACTCGGCGCGTTCAAGGCAATGTCCCAACTTGTATGAAGAAGGACTCAATGAGTTCAAGGAAGAACTCGGCGAGTCAAGGGCTAAACACTTCAACTAGTATGAAGAAGGACTCAACGAGTTCATGGACGAGCTCGGCGAGTCAAGAGCAAAAAGGTTCTGATTCTGTATGAAGGAGAACTAGACGAGTTCTTGAAAGACTCGACGAGTAGGATTGAAGTTCCTGGATTTTGGTGGATTATGGAACTCGACGAGTTGGTGGACCAACTCGGCGAGTTGAGTCAACCAAATGTTGAATTTGACCAAAAGTTGACTTTGACCAGGGTGTTGACCTTGACTTTGACCTTGACCTGAGTTAACCCTTGAAAGGGTTGAGCGTATGAAATGGTAACTAAGGAAGGATGTTATGTGTAGGAGTTTGAGAGGAGTTGATTCCCGCATCGGGGACAGTTCAGACACTTCACGACATTGAGGTGAGTTACCTTCCAGTAGGAGTGGGTCTAGGGCCACAATGTCGGCCCACTAGTAGGAGTTGTTTGTTAGATGATTATCTTTGTGATAATTATCTAGATTTGCTACTACCTGATATGTTTTATGTGCTAGCATGTTATGATGATATGTGATAGTGGTAGGAGGGGGAATAGTCCCCGTGTCACGGTCGTAAGGACCGAAGGGTAGGTCAAGCACCCCATAATGGCTTGACATGGGTAGGTCAGGCACCCCAGAATTATCTGGCAGGGTAGGTCGAGCACCCCAGAATGGCTTGACATGGGTAGGTCAGGCACCCCAGAATTGCCTGGCAGTATGTTTGTTATATGGTATGTGGTATGATGGGCGAACTCACTAAGCTTTGTGCTTACAGTTTCCAGTTTTGTTTTTAGGTACCTCTTCTTCGAAGGGGAAGGAGCCAGCACGGTAGAAGCGCATCACACACACAGGATTTCCGCATTATGAGATTCTTGGGATTATACTCTGACATTATTACTATTTTATGATTTGATTTGAGACACGTGACTATGTTTTATGAACTGATATGATTCGATGATGTTTTTCAGTAAACCGTTTGATAAGTTACTTAATTAAAAACAAACTTTTTGGTCTTGAAAATTTGGATGTTACAATTTTAGATCGAAAGACGAAGACTCTACACAACAAGGAAGTGTCATTGGTCAAGGTCCAATGGCAACATCAGAAGGGTTCTGAATGGAAGTGGGAGCCAGAGACGGAGATACGAGAACACTACCCAGATTTATTCGAGGCAACAGACTTTGAGGCGAAGTCTAGTTCAAGTGGGGGGGGGGAGTTGTAACACCTAGATTTCAAGTATTCATTTTAACCCTTGATTTATGTCTATTTTGCAAGTTTAGTCCCTGATGGCAATTTTATAAATTTGAAAACCTTTGGAGTACGCAAGGCATACACCCTCCTATACAGGGCATACTCCGGAGCGCCTTTGAATGCTGAGTGTACGCAGGTACGCAAGGCGTACGCAGCCAGAGTGAAAACCCTAAATTTTAGGGTTTGGACCCTATTTAAACTCATTTATGGCCTCAAGCACCTTTTACCTTCAACCTCCCTCCTCATCTCGAAAACCCTAAGAGTGTTTGTGCTTTGTGACGCTTGTTGGGCCATTTTGGTGACTTTTTGGAGCTCGTGGAGTAGAAGGAAGAACATTGAAGTGGTGGTGTTACACTCAAGGCTTTGGATCCAACATTTAGTCCCCTTTGTGCACCTTGTGGAGGTAAAAAGTTTCAAACTTGATGATAAAATCTCTTGGATCTACTTTTGCTCAAGTAGTTTCCTTTTTGGTCCCAAACTTAGCCTTTGTGAGTAGGAGGTACTCCAAGGCATTTGAGTTGTCCTTTCCGAGGCTTTTAGGGGTGTTAAGTCATAAAGTTGGGTTCTTGGTCACTAGTTTTCCCCCATGCAAGTGCTAGATGGTCTTAATGGGTTAAGAGGCTAGGGTTTTTGGTTTTAAGGACTTAATAGCCATGATAGGCCATAAAGTTGGAAACTTTATGGCTTAGGACATCTTATGTGACCTAGATCTGAAGTTTGGACGTGGGTGCTTAAGGGATTAAGCACTTAGTTAAGAGGTTGGAAAGCTGCCTCGTACGCAAGGGGTACCGAAGGGTACGCTGAGCGTACGAGATCAGCGCCCCGTTATTCGGTTAACTGTGAGGTACGCCCCGCGTACATGAGGAGTACGCCCCACGTACTGACTGAGTCAACCTGATTGACTTTGATCTGGTTTTGACGAGGGGTTGACCTAGGGGCATTTTAGGTATTTGAATGGTAGTCTGAGTTTTGGTGGTTTTTAATTGTAAAGGTGATCGGTAGTGTAGGTGTCGGAGCAGCGTGTCAGTTCAGCTTTTAGTATGTCTGTGAGGTGAGTCTTCTTACCACCTTAAGTGGGCCGAAGGCACCAAGGCCGGCACACTATATTTCATGAGTAGAACTATATGTTATCGTATGATTCTGTCTGTTGTGCTTGTATGATTTATGCATTGAGCTATATGGGCTCAGAGTCATTACATACTCGGGGTTGATACTAACCCGGGGGTTGATTCGGACCCGACACAGCTATATGTTGTATTTTGGGTTGATACGGACCCGGGGGTTGATACGGACCTGACACAGCCACGTGCTGTTATTTGATATGTATGTTGTATGTGGTAATTTGGGAAGCTAACTAAACTTTATGCTTACAGTTCTTGTTTATGGTTTCAGGTACTTCCAGTTCCAAACGGAAGGACCCGACGTGATGGCACAGCATCCTCCCCACATGATTCCCGCACTTGATGTTTTTGTACTCTGATGTTTTGGAATATTGTAATGAATGATGGATTTTGATACAATCAATGAATGAAAATTAATAGTTTTTAAATGAAAAATTTTGGCACTGGTTTTTGGGTCGTTACATTTAGAGTTTGTACATGATTTTAGACTATAATTCTTTCATTTTTGGTTTCATATTCAATGACTTACAGTCCCCCGAAGTCGGGATATCAAATTTTAAAATTTTCAAAATTCCACCTACTAACTAATTAACAAAAAATTCCGGTTTTCTCGACCATGCTTTGACTTTGTTGAAGTTATACTTCTTACGAGACCATGCTTTGACTTCATTGAAGATATGATCCATTAGTACATATGTGTGAGTATATAAAGAAGGGAATAAACTAAAATTGGCTAGTTTTTCTACTTCTTTTCTTCTCCATTTTCTCTATGAAATCCGTGAGCTAGAGAGCTCATCCCCTCTCTTTTCTCTTGCAAATGTTGTATAGAACTATGTGCTTTGGTTGCTTCTCCTTTTAAAGCTTACTTGAGATAAGTTCTTTTAGACTTAAGAAGTGCTAAATACAAGTGGAGAATAGCATTTGAAGTGATTTATCATTTATCATACCTTAGTGGATACATATAGAAAGCCTTTATTTTGAGTCTTATGCCACACTTCATCAACTTCCAACCTCCAATGTGAATCAAAGACTTCAAATGTTGTAATCTTTTCCTTTCTATGATTGATTTAATATTTCCAGGATTGCAAAATGATCATTGGTGGGTATAAAATGATTTTATTATTATTCAAGTTTTATTGATTCCGTTGTCGTTTTTATGAAAACGATTTTAAATAAAACACAATAGGATGTTCATAATGAGGTGACATTGTCGCATCAACCACATGTCTTGATGTAGTGACCATACTTGATGGTCTTACCAACAATTAGAAGTGCTTTTCGATATCATTATTTGCATCATTTTTAATAATTTTTAAATCAAGTTTAATACAAAAATAATTTTAGGTTGAAAATAGTTAAATAAAAAAAAAATGCTTAAAACCATTTTTTTACTAGAAAATATGGTTTAATTTTATTTTATCGTTACCCATTTAGTACATTCTATTTTCAGCAAGTTATATCTGAATTTTATTTAATGTTTCAATGCATACTCTTTAAAATTAAATTAAATCAAAATAAAAAATAATTAAACTTTGCACAGGTAACAGCCCCATGGGCGGCTGCCGCTGAAGTAGCCTCTCTCCTCACTCCTCAGTCCTCTCTATCTTCCCCTGAAAAATCTAATTTATGCCCTAAATTCCTAAATCCACTCCTAACTCCTCTCAGACCCATTTTCCAATGCTAAAATTACTATGATTTCGATCTCTCTTACACCTTGCTTTAGATTCAGCAATCTCACAACAACTATGTGTTAATGATTTGTAGCAATCGGAACTAATTTCGTCTTCTTCCATGGGTAACAAAGGCAAGTGTTTCTCTATCTATTTACTCTTGATCTTCCATCTTTTTAGCATTTCCAACACCACTTCCACGGATACCGATAACCCCTCGGACTTGTCCGATCCAACAGAAATTGTAAACGTATTGCATCAACACATATCCCAATTAGGTAAGCTCGATGAGCTAGTGAAAAGCCTTACCGAATTGGTAACTAGATTGGAATCGCGTGTACTCGAATCTCCTACTGAAATTAGGAGGAGTTCGAATGACGAGTTCATTCACGAAGAAGAACTTAGGTCTGATTCGAAAAAAATCGATGAAGAAAACAGTTTCGTTGATGAGAGTACTTCTGCGAGAGATAATAGGGTTGAGAGATTGGGTGCTGTATCTGTTACTAAGCATAGTTTATTCTGGTCTGAAAGGTTTCAATTCGTTTCCGCTGTGAAACTCGATACAAAAGCAACTTCTCTCAATGTTTTACCATTTAAAGACCTCGAAGGATTGAGCAAATATATCGCTGTCGGTGATGACCTTGGAAACTTCTACGTATTCACTAGATATGGCGAAGTTATGCTTCAATTCAACACACTCACGAATTCCCCCATTACTGCTATCTTATCTTACCTTTCCGTTTTCAGAAACGAGACTATAGTAGTTACAGGCCATGGAAATGGTGTCATCTTAGTTCATAGAGTTTGGGAAATCCCAACTGGCGATGAATCAAATCTGCTCGAGAGAGAAACCATTCACAAACTCGATCAAGAACTCGGATCCGCCATAAGCATAATGGAAATCCACCATGTTGGTCGAACAAGATACACTGTAGCCATAGACATCGGTGGAACAATCAAGGTTTTCAAAGAAGGAGGTTCAGTAATCGGGACAATCGTCCCCAGTTCTCGACCTCTTGCTTTCTTGAAGCAAAAACTCTTGTTCTTAACAGAAACCGGTGCAGGTTCTTTAGATTTAAGAACCATGAAGCTTCGAGAAGCTCCATGTGAAGGTTTCAACGGATCATACGCTTTGAATTATGTCTTTGATGCTTCCGATAGAGGAAAAGCATACGGGTTCACTTCAGGAGGTGAATTGGTGCATCTGTTAATATATGGCGACTCCATGAACTTCAAGTGTCGGGTAAGATCAAAGAAGAAATTCGATGTTGATCGTGGACCTTTATCTTTTGAAGCAATCAAAGGGTATTTTCTCATCGTTAGTCAAGAAAAAGTCTTTGTTTACAATGTTTCTTCTCAACTTTACGTGAGAGCGGGATTACCCCGGCTCGTGTTTTCAGCTGGACTCGATGAAATTATCGCATCCTTCTTGAATTATCGCGCAATTGGGAGATCAATAGATGGTAGAAATGATGAAATTGTTCCATTAATAGCAAGTGATCATGATAAGCTTGTGATTTTAAGCCTTGGAAGTGGATACATCGGGATGTATCGATCGAATCTTCCCGTTACAAAAGGTGAATTCAACACGATGTTATGGAGTACACCGGTTTTATTTTTTATACTTTTTCTATTCGTGGCGTGGCATTTCTTTGCTAACAAAAAGGAAGCTTTGACATCGTGGGGCCCGGATGATCCGTTTACAACAAACGGAGCTCCGCCGGGTCCCGGGGAGAGATCTTTTGGCGACCCCACTTCGCGAAATCATGATATGATGGATCTGAGAGGCGGCGGCGGCGGTGGTGGTGGTGGTAGTGGCGGCAATGGCGGTGGTGGGGGGATAAGAGGGCCGCCACGAAGGTACGGGTCGCCGACGCGGTATGTGGGACCCGGGGGTAATTCGTTTAGACCGACTTCTATTGACCCGAATCCGCGACCCGGGTCTGTTGACCCGGATTTTAGAGGTTCGGAGTTGAAATATAGAGGGGCAAATATGGAAAGTAGTGGTTTTGGTAAAAGGAGAGAGGGTTTGTTTGTAAACAATCAAGTTGTGGATAATCATGGGAGTTGAGTATGGATTGTTTTTGGTAATGCAAATTCGGGTCGGGTTTTTTTTTTATATATGGAGTTGGAGATAATAAGTTAATTAAGAAGGAATATGTATGATTTTATTATTACTCTGTATTTGATGGGTTATTTCGGGAAAAAGAAGTTATATTCATAAGTTTAAAGCATATAATTGTTGTTTGCCAAATTATTTTGCAATACAAAATTTGTAAACTCATTTCAGTATTCTAATGGTCTCTGTGATATGCCATTTTCTTTGGATTGGTCTATAAATGTTTTTTCTTTTAGTTATTATTTATTTATTTATTTTGCAAATGATGTCTTATATCAGGAATTTGTCTCTATGGTATAATGTAAATGACAATTTTGTCTTTTAGATATCGATTTTCCAGCTCTTGGCGTTGCAGTTGTTGTTTGGTCAACGATAAAAAAAAAAAAATACGACATTAACTATGTCTTGGATCTTTTTTTTTTTTTTTTTCGTAAAAAACATTGTTCAAATCATTTTCGTCATCTAAGAATGGTCTATCATCAAATGTACCATGAATATAAGATCAAAAGAATCGAATGCATAACCAACATAGGCTTTTAGTCGACCATCTAAACTTGAAGAGAAATCTCCATTCTTATCATGAACGTTGTGTATCACACGACATTAAAAAAATAACATTCACAGGCACATTAACAATCAATTCATAGTGTCTGACTTTCCCAAATTAAGTTCTTGATTCAAGCTTTTGCCACTTTCAAGTTCATGATCATCGAAAAGTATCAAAATGGAAATTGGTTTTAAAGGTCTTATGAACATTTATACTTGTTTAACATACTATGGGTACATGTTTGGACTATATAACATGGAGTTGAGCACAAATATGCAAGAAAATGACTAAATTGTCAAAAAATGAAAATGACTATTTAGATTTTTATGAAAGCATGTTTAACTATTGGAATGGATTTGATAATGACTATGATTTGAAGCATTTTGCTAAAATAAAGAAATACAGTCAATTAGTAAATAATAGAAAATTACCAAAAGGAGTTTAAAGCTTTATGAGATGTGTGGCTACTGAAACAATTTTGAAATGATGTTAGAATTTATTAAAATAATATTGTTATTAAATCGATATGAGAATTAAGGGCGTGTTTGATAACAAGCATTTTGGAAGCTTATAACTTTAATTTTTAACAAAAAAAACTTAATAAATAAAAAGCTTTGTTTGGGAGTACATACATTTAATTTTTAATTTTAAAAAAGTTTCAAATCTTAAGAAAAAACTATTGAGCTTTTTTAATCAATTTTTTGAATTACTCTTAAAAATATATTTATATAATTATAATTTTTATACAATTGTCCTTTTATGCAATTTTACACAACTTCTAGCTAACAACTGTCCGCTACCAATTAGTTTTGCCAAACACGTCTAAAACTTGATTGATAAAATAAAGAGATTTAGTAAAAATAAAGTGAATTGTTACGTGTGTGAAATGTAAATGAATCCTTTAATGATAATAAGGGTAATGTTGATAATGAATATATACGATACAAGGACATTAACTTGGAAAGTGGATTGAGAGTTGAGACTAGACAACTATCTGGTCTCTTATTGTTAATGTTAATGTGAGTTCATATGGACATTCTCTCTTATTTTTGGGATACATGACATAAATTATATTATAAAGAGTGTTTTAAATGTATATGATCTCTTATAAAGTAAATTGCTTTGAAAGTAATCAACTCCTTTTGTAACGTTCCAAAAATTATAAGGTAAAAATTCCATTTTAATTCAACCATAAACACCATTTATCTTTTTCAATCATTCAAAAGTATATCAGAGTAAAACTAGCTATCATATTACAATCCCAAAATCATAAAGTTGCGGAAACATGGGTGGATGCGATGTGATCAAGTCGAGCCCTTCCCTTTCGAACCGAAAGTACCTGTAACCATAAAACTGTAAGCACAAAGCTTAATGAGTTTCCCAAAATATCACATATCATACATATATTTAGGCCTAGCCCTTACATTGGGCCCAACCCACAATAATGGTCCTAGCCCTTCGTATAATGGGGCTAGCCCAACATACAATGCAAGAGTCATAGAGACAACTAGCATCCTACATAACATATATTGGGCCTAACCCTTCCTGATCCATGACCCCACCTAACATACAATGGGCCTAGCTCATTATACAATAGTTCTAGCCCAACATATCATGCAAGAGTCACACAGACAACTAGCATATAACATATTCTAGTGGGCTGACATTGGTGCCTTCGACCCACGGGTACAGTGAGGAGACTCACCTCAATCCGAGATAACTGAAACACACGCGTTGTTGCTACCGGGTTCCTCACACTGAACACAACTAAATTATCCCTAATCAATAATTAAGTTAATTCCCCATAATACAAGGTCCAATTCATTTTCTATCTTTCTAATAGGTAAAATACCATTTTACCCTTCCTATATCAGACCCAACAGCTCATGGCTCAATTCCCAAAAGGCCTAAAAAGAGCATCTCATGAGTACTCCTCGCGTACTAGATTAGTACGCCCCGCATACTGCATGTTGAAGCTTAGAGTACAACCCGTCACAATGAGGAATCAGGGAAACCATGCATTACTGACCACTTCTCACTTTAAGGACTTAATGCTTAGACCAAAATGTCCAAACTCATATCTAATCTCTAAGGGATGTCTTAAGTCATAAAGTTCCTAGCTTTATGACTTTACATGGGTTAATGGGGTCCAAACCAAAGCCCTAAGTCTCAAACTTCATCAAAAGACCACCAACTCAGGCATGGAAGGATTATACTCATCAAGATTCGATTTTTATGACTTAATGACCTCAACAAAGACCAAATATGAGGCTCAAAGGTTAAGGAGTAACTTCTACTCACAAGAACCACAACTATAAGACAAAAACATGACAAATCATAACCCAAACTAGATCTATATGATAAATCCATCAAGATTAAACTTTATACCTCCAGAAGCTAGATCAAGATGAACAAGGCCTGGATCTCTAAGCTTCAAGACAACTAACACTTCTCCATGGATTTCATCTTTTTCCAAATGCACTAAAAATCCACCAAAATCACTCTAAGGCTCAAAATCTTTCCAAATGGGGGATATGGTTTCGAATTTAGGGTTAGAGGGGACGAAGGTTGAAGATAAGAAGGGTTGGAAATGAGTTAAGGTCTTTAAATAGGGTCTAAGACCCTAAATTAGGGTTTGCATCTGAATCGCGTACACCCTGCATACTCCTGGTACGTCCAACGTACAAGGCTGCCCTCCACAATCATCCTAGCCAATTACGCCCAACGTACGTCCTGTACGTCCAGCATACTTGGCTTAGACCGAAACCCTCATAACTTCAAACGGTCATAACTTCCGTACCCCTAATCCGTTTTCGGCGTTCTTTATATGCTCGGAAAGGTAACGAGAAGCCCTGCACTTCTATCAACTCTCATTCGCATTAAAACATTCCGAACGTAAATCCTAAATTCATGAAAGGCCCGAACCATCGCCTTTTACCATTATACCCTTGGGCTCTAAAGCACAAACTAGGGATGAGCATCCGAATCGGCCTGGCCGCAACCGGACCAGGAACCGAACTTGGTGGAAAATAGGAATTGAACCGGACCGCCGGTTCTACCGGTTCTTGCCGGGTCTTTGATGTGTGCAATTAGCTACACCTAATTTTAATATTTATAACCTAACTACCTTACTAACTAAATTGCACCTAGGCAGTGTACCTAGTCAAAATTATAGAATAGTTGGGTAAGTCGGGTGTCGATCACAAGGAACGGTTTTGACTTATTAATTTATCTACTACTAAATTAACCTAATTACTAACAAAGGAATGGTTTTTATCTGATTTTGCAAGATCAGACTAACTTAACTCAAATTCAATCAATAATTAAAAACACTCTTGTTTAGTTCGAATCCACTTCTTCTTTATGGTTAGCTAACAATTATGGATTATCAAGTTGGTTATTATGGTATTAGTAATTTAAGTCTAAATTTACAAATATTAAACTAATTCATGTAAAACTATGTATGGTCACACACAATCAAACAAAGAACCGGTTATGATTATGAATATGCTATGTAAGATTATGCAAACACAATTATGGTCATAATTTATGTTCTCTAGCACAGCTAAATTTATTTACTTCAATTACTATCTAAGATTTTGGTCGATCCTAGCTCTAGCAATTTAATGTTCACTAAATCACTAGGTTTCAAGTTCATGTAATTTAATAATCACTAAGCTACACAGAACATGAATTTAAGCAACTAAAGAAACAAATATTAACATGCTAGGTAGTACAAATCAAACACAAGCAAATTACGAACTCAACAAATCCATTATCAGTAAACTAAACCATAAGTTAGAAGCTTCATCTAGCTAAACAAGAGTAGCTAGATTCAGCTGCTCATAGCAACAGATAAACAAACACAAATCATAATAGAAGTCATAATAAATGTACCAAACAAATAAACTTTTGATGTACTTTTCTCTCCTTAGGTGATAAAAACCTTTTCCAGAACTTCTTCTCCTCTCCAAATCGTCTCTAGGTCTGCCCTCTATCCACCAAAAGTCTCCAAAATCGTAATGGACTAAGGTATTTATAATTTCTGATTTTGCCGAGTTCACGTCGTGAGCCGATAAGCCTCACGTCGTGAGTATGAGGTAAACGTGTTCGACAATGACTCTTTCATCCGGATGCATATCTTCCAGAACACTCCAACTCACGTCGTGAATCTAGACATCTCACGACGTGAGTATAGCAAATTTCGTGGGTTTCTTTTCTTTTAAATCTTCAAGTCTCTAAAGTTCCAAGTATTGTCAATTTTGATCCCTTTCTTCGAAAATGCTTCTACTTTGGCTGCTAATAACAATTTATCCTTATAAGTACCATAATTCTATGCAAATAACCAAAATATTAATAAAAATGTAATTAAATATTGCCTAAAAATATGTATAAATATGGCAAT